GCTAACGTGTGTGTATTGCACTGCGCTGTGCCCAGCTAACCGAATTATAGATAATCAAATAACTACGAGTTCTTGTCTCGGTACCGGTGGTTTTTTTTAACTCTGGCATTAATCCCCCGCCTTCGTCCCCTGGCCTGGAAAAGTCAACGTAAACAATGTATAAAAAACAACGTATAGCCTAAAAGACGATGAAGGGAATAACAAAAAAAAAAAAATTAAATCATCGGATCGGACAGTCGTCTTCTTCCTCTTGTTTAATCGTAAAATTGGTTTGGCTATTTATCATCAATATTCTGTGATAATATCAAGGGTTAACGGACTATTTTAAAATTCCGATTCTTGAAGTTTTCCTAAAAGGTCTAGCACGATATTGATGAAATAATAATTTTAATCGAGTTTTACCTTACAAGATTCGCCAGCTTTCCACGGTTCATTATTTTAAGTTTATCAACTTTTGCTTAGGGAAGATATTCATCAACTAAATTATATTTAAGTTCTTTCGCTCAAAAAAGTAACGAGAACCCAACAGCCATCTCTAAATCAACTAGAAAGTAGAACAGGGGAATGAGAATTGAAGATACACAGTTCAGGCAGGAAGGTTCTTGTAGGAAAACTGTTCAGCTGAGAACTCGAAATGTATTTTTTTTTAATTTAAACATCTATAAAAATCTGCGAAAACATTAGAGTAAATTTGCACTGCCAATCAATGAGAAGACAATGAGGAGCCCAGATCCAAAGAATAAATACATTCCATGTCACATCAAATAATTCACAATTCTTCAAAACAAAACAAGTGGAGCCAGATATTCTACCTAGTATTTCTTATATTATAAATTTAAATTGTACTTTCAAATTATTTCGTTGGCAAAATGTTATTAACTAACTCTAATTTTTCCTGGATATAGCACAAACTCCCTTCCCCTTCACTTTGTGACTTTTTCATCAATATGAATTATCTTTTGTTGATCCTCTTTTTTTTTTTGTTTACCCTTAAATATATCCAATTTATTGTATATACTTTATTGTGGTAATATCCCAAAAAATGGCAGTACAATGACGAATAAAATATTATCACTACGACTTTCAATATTTAATGCATCGTCTTATTGAAAATGAAATCAGCATGAGAGATAAAAAAGAAATAAGGTTTAATAAGAAAACCGGATGAGGTTGAAAGAGGACACATCAGAAGGTTCGCAGTTAATCAAAGCCTGTCCATCAAACAATCACCGTTCCTTATTCACAGCAGACATCTGTCAGGTCTTGGCATAGTAGAGGAAATATCTTTGAGCGAGTGTGCCAATCATTCAAGGTTTCAGCTCCTTCATAACATTGAGTGCTTCAAGGGATTTAATTTAATTTAATGATGCTAACATTTTGTGGAATGATTCGATGAGTATTTTTGGCATAGCTAAAACGATTTTAACGAATTCATCTTAAAAATGTGTTTATTGACATGTAAAGAAAAATCTATTAAAGACATTTCAGGAAAAATTTAAAATGATAGTAATACAAATGTATGATTCATCACTATCCGCAAATACGAGATTACTCATTTCTGTCTTAAATTGTAACAAATTCAGTAGGGTACAAAGTAAAGACAAAACTCAATCATCAGTTTACTTCATTATCGGCCTGCAATGTGACAACAAGCATCTACATAAAGATTATATAAAAATTAAATCTGAACATCGCTTTCTTTAATTATAACAGATAGTACATTATTTCGTATATACCCATTATATTAAAAAAAGCGTTATATTAAATCAATGAATGTTTATATAGAAAGGGAATCCCTCAAAGAAAGATAGGAAACTGATACGCGAATTATGTCAAAATAGATGGTCATAATATATTTATAATTTCAAAGAGAAGGATGGTTGGGGTAATTAGTCAAAATAAAAATGGGAAAAATAAATAATAATATTTATTTTAACATTTGCCGACGTTTCGACCCGAAGTTCAGGCCTTCATCAGGGCTAAGAAAAGAACCAGATAACAAGGTATAAGAAACATAAACAATGTTGGTAAAAAAAATACTGAAGTAGATAAATGAACAATTAAGTAAAATGAAGTAGGTAGAATAATCACAATAACAAGAACTAATAAATAAATAATAATAACGATTACAAAGTGTGGACTAATGAAGTAAGCATAATCAAAATAAGTTGACATAAGTACTAAAATGGTAATCTTAGAATAAAATGTAAAACAGAGAAAAGGAATAAGAAGTTAAAAATAAATAGAAAAATTGAGATATTGTAAATAGAATAGTTAGATAGAAAATCTATATATTGTAAAGTCTATCAAAATTTGTATTTTGATTATGTTTACTTCATTAGTCCACACTTTGTAACAGTTATTATTATTTATTTCTCAGTTCTTGTTATTGCCATTATTCTACTTCATTATATTCCTATTTTATTTCACTTTATTGTTCACTTATCTACTTCAGCTTTTTTTTTACCAACATTGTTTATGTTTCTCATACCTTGTTATCTGGTTCTTTTCTTAGAAGAAGGCCTGAACTTCGGGTTGAAAAGTCGGCACATGTTAAATAAATATTATTATATATTTTTGCCATTTTTATTTTGACTAATCACCCCAACCATTTTTCTCTTAATTATTCACTACAGTCAACCATCAACCCACAATTATTTATAATTTCGAAATTATTTTTTCGGAAGATCAAAAAAATAATAATATTAATATTGATAACTCAGAAATTAATAATGAATTAAAACAATTCTTTATCTAATAATCGTCGCTTTACAAAATATTAACAATGATACGGATTCATTTCTTGGCACTTCCATGGCTTTCAGTGAAACGGACTTAATCTGAAATAGGCTCCATCTATACTCAGTAATATAACCAAGTTCTCATTTTATAACGATATCATTTCTTTTTCTAAAAAATATAATACTTTTTGTACCATCGCTAAATGCAATAAGGTTCGAAATATTTATTGAATTATAGTACTATTAGATTTTCATCTTCTTTATATTGTATTTTTAAAGATCAAGTTTTCTAATTGATTAAAAGGAAATAAAAAGTCCAGGAAATACTCAAGGTGGGTACGTCCGGGGATAGGTTTTGATCAAATTATTAATTCTAGAGCCTATAGTTGTATGTGGATATTTAAAAGAGTTCCAGGGCCGAGTTAAGTCATGAAACCCTCATAAATCACGGCCCTATCTCTGATAAAATCCACTAATTTTCTAAAAAGAAAAAAAAAAAACAATAGTAAGCCTGATAAAACAAGCTTAATAGTCTTCTCTAGCTGGTTTCTCTTGAAAACTTAAAAAAAATCTGTGATTTCAGGTGCCAAAAATTATTTGTCATTGATTGTTTAGTGTTTCGCAAAGTAAATCGTCATATGATTTTGAAACATAGTATAGTTTTTTTTCTTTTTGTGTCCGATCCCTATTAAAACATTATGATAATAAGACCTAAGGAATCCAAAGGTATGATGCCGTTACATCAAAACCTTCTAACGTTCCCCTAAATGAACCAACCGGACAACTTTCTTTAAGAAAATAAACTCAAATTTCAAATCTAAAGATCTATACAAAATTAAAGTTAAATTAAGTTTTTCTTATCGAACAAAATTCTTAGTGGAGATTGCAACCATTCAATCACCTTTTTCTGACCAAAGACGAAAATAGAGCTTGGTATCCTCCAAAACCACTAACATCAAAACAATGCTCTATAATAAGTAGGCTCAGAATTGGACACACCGAACTGACCCATCTCCACTTACTTCTTGGACTACATCGAACGACAAATGCTAATTTGACTGTAGAAACGGTGCTAAAAATTCCGTAAACAACAAACTGAACTCAAAATTGGTGACAAAGTACCGTACAAAGAAAACAATGGTATTGAAAAAAAACGCTATTAAGTACAGTTCCCTTTTTATCAAATAATTAATTAGCCTAACTTCGTAAATAGTTCGTAACTTCCAACTATTTTATTTACGAAAACTCTTGGAATTGAGACATTTTCAATCTAGGGGGATCGAACTTTGTCTATTTAATAAGATAATAAAAACTCGTAAATACTCATTTGCTTTCTACTTCGATCGTATGAAAATTTTATCACAAAAAAGGTGGTCTTAAAAAAAATTGAGCCGTTTGGCGTGACTTACACCACCAAAATTTCAAAATAACTAGATTGTGTAGAACAAACGGCCCAATATTTTTGTTGGTCACCTTTTTTCTCGATTTCGTGCTCATATTATCTTACGATCCAAGTAAAAAGGAAATTAGTATTTAAGAGTTTTTAGTACCTAATTAAATAAACAAAGTTTGCTCCCCTCTAGATTGAAAATGCCTCAATTCCAAGAGTTTTCGTATATAAAATAGTTGTAGGTTACGATGAGATGAAACTATTTACGAAGTTTCAGGCGGATGTTAATAATTCGATAAAAAGGGGTCTGTATCACGGACTATATGAAAAAGCACATTCAATAAATAAAATTAATAAGTTATATCTAAGAAAAAAGATCGTCGCTAATGACCTGGGCATTCGATTACGACATTAAAAACGACAAATAAAAAAAAATTTTTTTTTTTAAAGAATTTTTTAAAAACTAAACTAACTAGTAAATGTGCACACTAGTCGTAATACAATCGCATGGAAACGCTTATTGAGAAACTACCCATTGGTAGCACTCTAATATTATATTTACATAAGTAGAACACGAGGCCTTTTCAGACGCCTCGCAGGGTTATCAGGGATCGAGAAAGAAGCAAGGATTGAAACGAGAGGGCTCGGATGGTTTTCGAGTTTGTTATGGAAGGATAGGTATCTGGATTGGGCCAAACCGGAAACATATGGAACATTGAGGTCTTTATGAATGATTTTATTTGTGACAAAGTAAGGAGCGTTGAGGATTTTGCGCTATTTTATTAGGATTGAAAGCTTAGAGCGTTTGTCTAGTAAGTGTTGGAGTAGTCGGAAACTTAGAAAATTTAAATTTTGGAAAACCAACGTAATTATTTTGTAAAATTCCCACCTGCTCGTTCTTCATCCGAGTCTGGTGACAGCTGCGGGGTTAGATCGAGATGTTCGTAGGAGTCCCAGGAGGTGACGTGGTCAGCACTGGTGTCCACCGGGACAGCGGGTGTTGGGGCTGGCGGAGGGCCTCTTCGCTCCAGCCCTGCGAAGTGGAGTTGCACTGCACCGTCTGTCGGGAAGCGGGGATCTGAAACAGGGAAAATCCTTATAGGTCGTTGACTACATGCAAATGTTACTACCTAACAGGGTGGAGGCAACAAAACATCAAATAAGTAAGTAAATAAACTTTGACCATATTGATCATTACAAAGTAAGGCATAGTAAATGCCTCAAATGACACAAACCCTCTCCTATATAAAAACGCTGAAAATTATTTCACAATGGTTTAATATTTCCAAACAATTAAACATCTAAAGTAACATTACTTTCCAAGTGACAAAGAAAAAGAAATGAAAGGTGATTCCAAATATCGGACTAAACATATTTTTTTTAACCATTACTAATATGCTAAAAAAAATAGTATTATATCAGTAACACATTCAAAAAACAAAACAAAGGATATAACTTTGCAGTAGAACATATAAAAAATATCTATAGGCCATATCTTTGCTCCTAATTGCCCGATTTTAACTTTTTCATTAAAGTTCAATCGTCTCATCGTGGTCTCGATTTTCTCCTTAAATATCAAAATTGTGTCCACTCCACTCATACTTTTTTATTCCAGCTTAAATTAGTTTTGTTCTGACTGAAGAAAAGTATTGTTCTCGTTAACTCCGAACAACAACAAGTTAAATTTTCCTATGGATTTTTCGTTCCATCCATTTTACGAGTGAAAACATACCTATTAAGTATATATCACTACTGTTAGTGCAAATGTCGTACGTATAAGTTTTCAATTTTTATTCTATTTTTGAAATTATATAGTCTGCTTTTGATATAAATGGCCTAGAACTATGAAAAATAGCAGAGGACAATAAAATATGAAATTATACTCATAGTTCATAAAGAAATAATTAGTTTTTATGCTCTCCTGTAAAACACTGAATTTCCGAAAACGGCTTCTACCAGAGATTTTATTCTCATAAGAAAATTTTTAGATCTTTTACTATAAATATTTTTTAGCATTTGAAAACGGTGAGGAAACTATACTGACCTTACTTGGCAGACGTTTTTTTTTAAATTCCGAAAACTTTTAAATAACCATAAAAAAAGCGTACAATTTTTGAGTTATTCGGAATTTAATTTTACCATCCCTCGTAACGTTTTTTCCAACTTTACATTGCAGTATGTTATATAGATTAATTTAAAGAGCATTGAGAAGAAGAATTTAGCGAAGTTTTATTGAAATCGGTACATTCGTTTAGGCGCTACAGTCTATAACAACGCAGGTTTCCGGTCACCATCCTGAAAGGAAAAGGTGGATAGAAATGTTGATGCAGGATGATCATCCTCAGGTCACCTTTAATTTTAAATCCAAATTTGAAAAAAATCGTTCCAGTAGTTTTGGAGAAAATGCGCGGACGGCGGACGTCGGACGGACAAAAACAATTTTATTCGTTTTTCGAATTCTACGTATCCTGAAACGTAGAACCTCAAATTTTAAGAGGGGGTTAAGTTTTTGAATTTTTGTTCGGTCACAATGGTTCATTATTAAAATTAATAAACCAAAAAAATGGTTACACTAACATCATGATGTGCTAATTTCACAGAGGAAAAATTCTTCAAAGTGCTCAGTAATTTATTTTTATGAAATATTCGGGAATGAATTTTCTTAATAAATCCACGATATAAACAACTTCATGATCACATTCTTATCGGACGCATAACGATAGTATGAGAATATGCAAAAAGTAACAAATTAAAAAAATAACATTTCTCTTTAATTGAATCTCCCGTTTTTTTTCAGTGACACTCTCTTAAAACACCTGATTATCTCGTTTTTATATTTTTCTGACACGGTGGTTCGGTTCCGATCTCTCCATATAAATATTTAAGAATAGAAACATCGAGCTGATTGACACAAACGAGGGCAATATCAAAAGCAATGCCGATCAAAAGCAAATGGATGCTCATTAGTATTTTGAAGTATGTTTGCTTATTAGTAGAAAAAATATGTGTATTTCTGACCAAACAAAAAAAAAAAAAAATTATATATTAGGTTGCAGAGCGCCAATTTACCTGTACGACTCGAGTGTGATGCGGGTTTACGGGTCAGCACATGTAAGAAATAGTAATAGTCTAATTTAGGAAATTAAATGCAGAACCAGAAAATATTAGGGGCAGACAATTGTATTCCTAAGTTCATAAAGTGTTGGCAAATATGGTGCTCTATAGTTGTGAAAATGAACAAAGCTGGTTTACAACAAGGAGCGCTACAATATTTCCGATGGGAGCTTAACATGATACTAACATCGTATAATATCAATATTATCTTTTAATACAAGAACTTGTTAAGCTATTTAGTAACAATAAATATGCAATGACCTTACTAAGACGGGAAAATGTCAACATTTACAAAGTACACCCTGACATGTTGGTTTTAATTACATATTCCTAAACCAGGCAGAGTGTAAATATGAATTTAAGATGAGGCTGATCAAATATTAATTCCTCATTAGCAGAGAAGCTAAAAACAGATTTTATCAACTAGTTATTACCTGCTTCGTGAATATCAATAATCATGTGTTATTCTAAAGTAAAATTTAATAAAAATTATGGGATGTTTTAAGTAAAATTAAAATAAAGAATTAGTTTAAAAAAACCTTTACCACTAACAACCCCTGAAGAGTCTTGGGTTCAATACAATGTGAGGAAGTAACTACCGGTACAAGGCCAAATGTTGTACAAGGAGATGACGGGGCCAGGTTTCCCTCCTTAATTAATTATTTAATTAAGAGTACTGACTTTATAGAGGCTGGGTTTGCCCTAGGAGGGTCCCAGGCCCAGAGTCGACCCACGGCTACTGATAAATTACTTGTCATCAGCCGGATTCGAACCTAGAACCCTGAGCTCTGGAAGTCAGTGAGCTACCACGCTCTCCAGTTAAAATAAAAATAAAATATTAAAATTAGAACTGCTGCTTAATTAAAGTAAACTACTTTAGTTTATTAATTAAGAATACGAAACGAATAAATATAAATTCCTAAACATTTCAGGATATTAAAATTTCTTATTAGGATCGTGAAAACTTTTATTTTTCATCATATTTACAAACTATTTAAAAATTTATTTATAACGTTCTTTCTGCAAGATGGAAATTAATTTCTTAACTAAAACATACAGTAAGGGCTAAAACTTGTTGATAAAAATAAATTAAGCGTTAAACATACACATTAGAAAAAAAAAGTTGATAACATACGATAATATAATTGAATCGGATATTTCAGAAACGATATATTTGTAAATTTTACCGTTTTCTTTTTTTTTTTTTTATTTATTTAACTTTTATTATTTAACTAAACTCATTTCAATAAATGTGTGCCGACAAAAAAAATTATAATAATTTTGTTTTTTACAGAATTCTCTTAGACCACTACTTAGAATTCTTTGGATCTGTTCCAATTTTTAAGAACTACAATTAATCACCCTGCCCACTCCCCGGGGGAAAAACCATTGCTGACAAGAGCCATTGCTGTCCAAAACAAACAAGAGTGATTAATCGGCGCCTTTGTCGATGGGCGCGATCGCTACAACGGCTGGATATTGATTGATATTACGGTCTCTGATAGGAATAAATCTATTAATAAGATTAATCTCTGTTATTCTTAAGAATTTGTTCTAAAATTAATAGGAATTAATCTATGTTATTCTTAAGACTTAGTTACAAGATTAATAGGAATTAATCTCTTTTATTCTTAAGAATTCGTTCCAAAATTAATAGGAATTAATCTCTGTTTTTCTTAAGACTTCGTTCAAAAATGAATAGGAATTAATCTCTGTTATTCTTAAGAATTCGTTCCAAAATTAATATGAATTAATGTCAGTTATTCTTCAGATTTCGCTCCAAAATTAATAGGAATGAATCTCTGTTATTCTTAAGAATTCGTTCCAAAATTAATATGAATTAATGTCAGTTATTCTTCAGATTTCGCTCCAAAATTAATAGGAATGAATCTCTGTTATTCTTAAGAATTCGTTCCAAAATTAATCTCTGTTATTCTTAAGACTTCGTTTCAAAATCAATAGGAATTAATCTCAGTTATTCTTCAGACTTCGTTCCAAAATTAATAGGAATAATCTGTTATTCTTAAGACTTCGTTCCAGAATAAAGTTATTTTTATATACTATTCTATTTTCAATATATTCTATTTATTGGCGTATTTTATTTTTTTTTAGATGGGCGCGATCGCTACAACAGTAGGATACTGGTTAATATTGTGGAGTAATTAAAAGCATATCTTGCGCCACCATCTTGGGCCCGCTGCAGTGCCTCTCAACACCTAGCCTATAAATTATAATAATAATGGAGGCCCAACCTAAGGTCGGTGTATATTAGCATTTCAATTTAGGTGAGGAGCTGCATTGTGGTAAGGAATCAAACCGACTCTACAGGTATTATTGTTTTGGGACCCTTAATTTACAAATAAATTAATTATTAAAGCTAAATTGTTAGTTAGGCGTTTGTGATAGTAACCTACAGTTTGCTTGTTAAACATCTTTAAAAATATTAAAACAGTATTAAAAACATTGTCATAAGTAGTATGAAATGTTTAATTCGAAATTCACTTTATTTATTTATATACAATGCCTGCAGGCTGGAACTAGGCAGGGGAAAAACGGACACTTGTTACGTTGGAGGAATTTATATAACAGAAAATTTTGAGAATATGTTTTGCTTAAGTGAACCATATTTGCTTTTGCTTTTTGGTGGTTTTTACTTTATTTATTCTATAGCACCAGTTAATATTATCTGATGATGATATTTATTCCGAAATGTGTTACATAAAATACCGATATAAAATATTGACTTTTATTGGATAGCGGCCTAATATTCCAATTCCTACTAATTTTTAAATTACTTCACGTAATTATTTAATTTAATAAGTATATAAATTTAAAATACGAAATACTTTTTATGTAAGCAATTTAAATATTTGGTAATTAAAATTGTATTTTATACAAAATACTTGGTATTATAAATAATGTAATTTAAATTTTTTTTTTTGTCCAGGTCTGATGTGAACAGATGAATATGATGACACGAAAAAACTTGTTGAGAAAATACCCATTACTAAAACTCTAATAATATATCTACAATAAGAGATCACGAGGACATCTTCTTTTCAGACGCCTGGAAGGGTTATCAGGAATTGAAGAGGAAGCCTGGTTAGAAAAGAGAGGATTGGAATAGTTCTTAAGTTTTTTATGAAAGGATAAGAATTGGGCCAAATCTGAAACATATGGAAAATTATGGTCGTTATAAATGATTCACATTATATTCAGCATTATGGATTTTACGAAGGATTTTGAATTAAAAAGATTGGATATTTCATTTAACTATAATTTATGTTTTCTGCTGATTACTGTGCTAATATTTGATTTTATTAATTTATTCCATGAATATCGTGTGAATGAACTGTTATTTCACTATGACTAAAGTCCTTAATTATGACTTAATTAAAAAACTAATATTAGACAGTAAAAAGTATTGAAAAATATTCCATGTAACGCACTATACGACAATTGTAAATTATTTCAGTATTAAGAATTTTAAAACGGTAAAAAACTATTAGTAGTTATGAACGCATTTACTTTTTTTTTTTACAGTACTTTTACTTACTTACCTACGAAAACTTATTTAAAAGAAAATAAATCATAAAAATCAAAAAAATATAGTTAAATAAATAAATTATAGTGGAAAGGAGATATATATATCAATCATTGAATTTAAATTATATACATATCTGACTAAATTTTAATTCATTCATTCATTCATCCATTAAATTTTAATATATATATACAAAGAAACCTTTAAGAAGTTTATTATTCACAAATTTAAACCAAATAAAGTAAATATACACAGAAAAGGTAAGAATAAGTTATGATAAACTTTCCATATTATTTTACTTTGTTTCAGGCATAACAGGTCTGTAACCATACGATTGTGATTATTTAGAAGGAGTTCCTCAAAAAGTTTTTTAAGAGATGTTCAGTTGATAATATAATTCACCAGGGGGCGGAGTAGCCGTGCGAGCCAACGCGTGTTTTAATTCTGGCATTAATTCCCCGCACTCTCTTTCATAGTCAGGGGAAAAACCCATATAGCCTATAAGACGAGGAAAGAGTAAAAAAAAAAAAAAAAAAGTAATTTACCAAATTGAATATGTATATAGAAACGTAAGATAAACCAAATTAATGATGGATAGGAAATTAGAATAATATTTAAAACAAGTTATACAAAATTAGAATCACATTTAATAATATTACTTTCGTTTGATTAAAATTTCAGTTTCAAGGTTATTATTTTGACAAAGGTCACCTTTGTAAAAATCGAAAGATACTAAGAAATCTTCAAGAAGAGATTTGAAATGTTTTCATGTGGTTATGAACAAAAGCCTAACATATGAGGTAAATGAAATGATTTTAACACGTTGCTTTCCCAATTACGAGAAAACTATTTGGTGACACACTTGCCTTCGACAAACTATGCATCATCTCGTAAATTGTCTAAGTGCCATTTTCTTTTATTCTGTTCATTTTTCCTAATTTTGGTGTCTTGAGGCTTTATTTTTACATAAATTAGGCCAATTATCACCAAACATTTCATTGATACGCTATTTAATTCGACGTTTCGACCATACTAAGGGTCATTTCCAAGTCTTAATGAGTCCCCCGTTATATATTCATCATTAATGTCGCAAATAATATGTTCAGTGAACGTTAAATTGTCATGGTCTATAGGGGTTTCATCTACGTCATTTCTGGAGGGACTGAACTGTGCAAATATTATTTGCGACATTAATGCTGAATATATAATGGAGGACTCATCAAGACTTGAAAATGACCCTTACTATGGTCGCAACGTCGAATTAAATAGCGTATCAATAAAATGTTTGGTGATAATTGGGCGAATTTATATAAAAATAAAACATTTTTTTTTTGCTGCTATGAAGTTATTCTTAGAGCTTTCTAATGGTTATTAACTACTAAAATTCGAATTTTATAAATAATATAATTTGGTTATAAAAAATTAGCATTCAGGCTGAGCAGTCCTGTGGACCGCCAATGTGTTGAAATAACACATTGTTGACATATAGTATAATTGATTTTACATAATCAATAGCATGGTAATGTTAATAATAGAGAATAAAATTACCGAACAAATGGTTAAATAAAGTAGATAAACCACTTTTTGATTTAACCACTTTCCTGACCACTTTAAAACACTTTTGATTATTAGCGTCAATCAGTTAATAATAGTTAATCTTATAACAGGTTATGCTAATAGCGAATAATGGCCGCTTAACTTGAGATATATTTATACTGATGACGATAAGAATTATTGATAAATTATAATTAATTATATATTTGCCTCTTTGTTAATTTTTTTTTTTTAAGATTATAGAGTATACTTAAGCTAATCGATAAAACATTATGATGTTTTAGAGGTGAATATTAATTGATGGATAATGTAAGAACCTTTTACTTATTATAGCTAATAGAATTTATATTTTTTTGGTCACGTGTTTCTCGATGATAATAAACTTTTGTGCTGTATCAGAGAGGTAGGTAGGTGTGAATTTTATATCCAATTATACGGGTCTCTACCTACCTATCTAATACAGATAAATAAATAAGTTTCGGAACTTTGGTAATAAAAAAATTCAATACATTTAAAAATCCTTAAGAAAAATGATCCTTTCCTGTTAATATTTTGTATAAATTTGGTTAATTATTCCCTTAAAATAAGTAGTATTTTTTGTTTCATTAAAAAAATGAGATTATAAGTTTACCTGAACAAGCCGAATCTAGTTCGGTCCTCGTGAATGTTAACGTGTGATAGGTAACTGCGCATGTGTGGAACTGACAAGCGAAGACTAGTTCCCTTTGGGAAGTGGCTGTGCTGCTGCTTCCTATACTGCTTCCGGGTGACAGCTCTTCATCCACGGTATAGTTCCTATGGCAATACATGTGTTACATATATTTACATAAATAAATGCTCATTGATACAAACAATAGCTGCTTAATTACCTGTGGTAGCACTTCAGTAGAATGTCCCCTCTCAGCTGAAGCCCCGGCCTTCCGAGATTGACGGTAAACTCGCGAGTATCCGGACCGACTGAGTGTACACCAGAAGTGTACACCGGTACTAGCCCCTCGTACACTTTTATGAAGGCTCGGCAACCCCCGCTAGGAATGAAGTTGGGAGCTCCAAGAACAGTAACGTGGCTGAGATATAGCGGCGATGAGTTGATGCGGATTGAACCGGACAGCAATCCAGAAAAGTACTCCACGTACCTGAGAATAACAATAGCCAAATTAATAAAATTAAAATATACATCTAGATAAAACATACATTGAGCTATGATGTTACATTAACTCAGAAACTGAAAATCTAAGTCCAAGTATATTAAGGATAGGCCCAAAAAAAACTTGGGATCAATGTCACGCGAGATAGACTATAACGGCATACTTATAACAACATGTTTCACGAACTTCCAATTAATCAAGTTGAAGCAAATAAACACAATCAAGATATACCTGACCATTGTGAGGACAAGAAACATGCCAGAACCGACGAATATTAAGAACAATAATACCTTCCCTCCTGCCTGTTATGGCTCTCGTATTTGTTCCTTTAATACCATTCACTAGTAGTTAGAGCCCTCTTATATTTTCGGGCTTAAGAATCAAGAGATTCAATTTTTAATCAGAAGTGTCAATTTTACACATAGACACATGCTCCTTCCACAAAAGAATTACCGCCCACTTCTTAAAAATGGTTTAAGTTAAATTAGAATAATTATATTATGGGTGATAAATATTCAGGATGCAGTCATTATATATTTTTTTATTTTTGATAACGTTTCAACCCAAACATGTGGGTCATCACTCGAGTTCGAGCACTGAAAGCTTTCAAGTACTGACACGCCCTGATGATGACTCACATGTTTGGGTTGAAACGTTAGCACAAATAAAAAAAAACGTTATAATGACTACGCCCTGAGTATTTATCACCCATGATAGATATGTAGAACAGTCGACTAGCTTCCTTCAATAATTCTAGATTTGTTTTATCCCTGATTCTATAGTTTGAAAGTGACCCAAAATTAAATCCCATAAAAATATGATGACTTCTGAAAAACCATACTTTTAATAATATCTGCCACTCAAAAAAATTCATAGTCAAAATGTGTAGCATTAAAAAATTGTGTTAGCTCCATCCATCCTATCCCGTTTTCTAGTTTCCCCTGGTTCTGATTAACTGTAGAACGTTTGGCTACCATCCTTGATTTTCTGATTGTGACCATGTTTAAAGAACGAACCATATAAAGTTGACAATTGCATCAGACTGATAAAACGCAAGATAGCTCTGGTATACATTTGAAGATGTAATAAAATTCTAAATAATGGATTATATGAAATTTCTGAATGTATAAATAAACAAGAACTTAGTAGCTGTTAACACTTATATATGAGGATCTAAATTATAATCAAACATTTAATGGGCAAATAACGGCCAATTCATTTCATTACACAACTTCATTTTATATTTTAACGTTTAAATCAATGACTTTCTGTTATTACTTTTGCTATCTTATTATATTATTTTTTTATTTATTCAGGTTGTACTTTTTGTCTCTTTATTTATCAATATGTGTATGTATATCTATATTTCTTTTTTTCACCATTACACTATAAGTATTCCTGAGAAGATTTTATTTTTATTTCTTTTAGGGTTTGCATATTATTATGTAAATCACTGTAGATATTATTACATTTTGTATTAAGTTAATTTTTTATTAGTTAGCCTATTGTTTATAAATTGTGTAGTTATGTATATATAAATGTGTAATTTCGTAGTTCAGTTATCGTAATTAATTAAATAATAAAAAAAAGTTAGTATTTCTTAGAACTTTATTCTGATATTTTAGAGAAGCTGGAATATCATGCTCATATCACCGGAAAAAACAGCAATAAAAATTCCCTTTGACAATGTTTTCAATGGGACCTGGCACTCTGCCGCTTGGAACACTGAAATGGAATACTTAGTTACCGGAATAGAAATGCAGCCAAATGTATTACGGCATTATGTATTTATGGAGAGTGATGTTCTACATCAGCAATCCTATATGAATATTCTAAATATATAACCATTCAGTATATACATGAATATCTAAAATAAATTAATATAATTACTAATTAATGTAATTTGAAAAAAGTGTGTACGTAGTATTTACTCTTAATCATACCTCTTCCCCTGAAATATATTTTAATAAAATTGAAATTCCTGCGATATAGTTAAATATTTGGGTATTTACTTGGACAAAAGACTAACTTGAAGGACACACATTAGACAAAAACGTATGGAATTAAACAGACGATACGGTCTTTTATCTAGGTTACTCGTTCAAAATTATCTTTGACTAACAAACTAACTCTCTATAAAATTTTACTTAAACCAATTTGGACTTATGGTATAGAACTGTGATTTTCTGGCAAAACTTCCAATACTAAAAAAATCCAGTCTTTCCAATCCAAAATTTTACGATGGATAGTTGATCATTTTATGTCGCCAACGTTAGATGGCATGAAGACTTGTACATGCCAACAATTTTAGACACTGCAAAAGAAAACTACAATAACTTTCACCAAAGACTAACAACATAAATCCTCCGACAGAAAACCTTAAACGCACTAGAAACACGTACAGCCCACCTCGGCGATTACGTAGGCTGTGGCCAAGAGACCAGCTGAACTGATCTATTTCCTGGATTTGTTATGGGACGCTGTGAAGCTGCAAAAAATATTCTTTCTCATTGCAAAAAAAATTTGCAGATCGCCAATTTAATTTCTATGTCCAATTTTATGTGTATGTATTAATAAATATATAAATAAATAATTACAAAACATTATCACAGTACCATTATCATGCTGCGGCAATGCTGGTCATTTTTAATACGAGTTTTGATTAACCGATAACTATCAGCCGCAAGCGCGATATGGTTTTATCATTCTAGGTTTTGGAACAGAAAAACTGTACTGCGTATGCGTCTGACGATTTTTTAATAGTTAAAAAACACAAAAATAAAATATTAGTAACACAGTTATTTCATTAGCTTAATATCAAAACATTATAAACGGACTTCGACAATAGGTGAGACGACTTAAACTTAGGAGATCAATAAGATTTCAAGAAACCTAAATAAGGCTAAAAAAGATGCAGTGGAAAAGAATGTAGATTTAATAATAGTAAACGCCAAATATAAATTTCTCTGTTTTCTAAAACGATTTTTATTTTATTTGATCAGTAATAAACACCTTTGAACTCTAACTGCCCTGTTATGAAAACAATTTTACACAATTGTAGTTCCCTTTGGAAATGAAATGCAATTATACCTTTGTTAGAAAACCAAAGAGTAACGCCACTTGAACCCGCGTGGTGGATTTAATGACTACCTTCATCAACAGAGGTGACCTCATTAACTGCTATTGTATGTTCTCTTTTACCTTCAGTTTATCTTATCTGCCTTTCCAGCAGCTTACCGTTTACATAAAGAATGGACCGCGTTTATGACTTACAACCTTGGTAACTTTCTTGTATTGAACAATATAAGTGGAAGAAAAGATGGTGCTATATTTGTAGCACATATTTCCAAAAATCACTGACGGTTTCAATAGGAATAAAAAATTGAATCTTGAATAGGGCCGCTTTTGGAAAGAATTAAACTTGAAGGCCCGTTTTTGGAATAAAAAATTGATTGGGGAGAAGGGATAGTGCGGGTATGGAAAACAAAGGCGTATAATTTTGATGATGGGAGAGAAAGTTATATAATTATACTATGAAAAATTAACTTTTTGTTTGTAATAATGGTAGAATATACCAAATTTATTTTTAGTTTTGACTTGAATTGCCCTTAAAAACCAATCTTCAAAACTAGTTCGAAAAATGGAAAATTAAAATAAACAGTAGCAAATAATAACAGTTACGATTGACAATAAGCCAGTGCCTTCAAAAAACTATGTACGATACCTCGAACTCTACTTAGACAAAAGCCTTACCGGGAACATACATACTAAATTAAAAAGACAAAAACTGACATCATGACTCACATCTTCTGGATTACAGATCCTCACTTGAAGGAAAAAGGGTTATTTTTAGCCAAATATTGATCCTTTGCATTTGAAAATGCTTAAAAAACTCTTTCCAAGAATAAAGTTTGTTTCTATCTATCCATCTCTATCCGCAACTTTTATGATATTCAAGATCATGACAAAACACATCCTTAGATAATATTCCTGTTGATTGAATTTATCTTTATAATTATTAAATGCCAATTGAACTTGATCAAATAAAATTATTTAAAATTTTTTTAATGAAACCGATGGAAATTTAAATCATGAAAAATATCTAGAAATAAATTACGAATACATGAAATTCTGTACGATAACACACAAATATTTATTAAACATTAACTTAAGGAGCAGTTATATTTATAATAATATGACTACATTTCTTTAAATAGGAAACCGATTAAAATTATATATCTAACAGTTAACGGGCGAGTGTGGATATCGTGCTATATGATACATGATGACGTTGTTTCTAAAAATATAAAAATGATGCTTTTGAAAATAGAATATTTTGCATCACTAATTGAAGGATTTGATACATTTTTAGTAATGAAATGTATTAAACAAAATTAAATAGATAAAATGATTATAGGAGTAAATAGATAGGAAATAAGTACATAACATCCATCCATTTTTTATAGATCTGAGAAAGAAATATGACGTTAAAAAAAATCGACACAATCACAATCGGATCAATTTGACCGACTAAAAGTGGGCGTGGTGTGTCGTGCTCCAAGTCAGTTTGTTAGCAGTGACAAACCTCGAATTACACAATGGTCTCCTAAGCTTCTTGTAAAATGTTAAAAAGAAGTTCTACGGGAGCAACCGAGGAAAACTTTAACGGCAGGAGATTTCTTTACCTCCCCCGTAATATATGCATTTTTATTACTATCACGGGCTCTTGTTTTATTTGCTAGCCTGGGTGGTCGCAAAAACCAATAAAGAAGTACTTCCTACTTGTGGATTTTTTGCGACAAATCGTTTGAGGGAAAAAATAAGCATTGAAATAAAAATATCAGTGTATTACATACAGTAAACGCGGAAGCGAAATTATATGCCATTGGAATAGCCTTTTTTTTTTTTAATTTGAGACTGTATTATTTTTTTTAAACTTTTATTTCATATCATAAAGATACCTCTTAAATATGTAATTGCTACTGTTAGTGCAAAAAGTCTTATATAACGATTGTACATGTTTATTCTCATTGCGCTGAAGGTGACATTTTGTAGTCGGGGAAATGGGAAAATTAAATATAAAGTTATACTTATTTTTTATTTTTATTTATTTGTTTATATGATATTTACAACTGTATACAAAAAAATACATCTGGTAAATTCGCACATGGATACAATGAAATGAAACACATGTTGAGAAACTACCCATTGGTAGCACTCTATTAATATGTCTATATTAGAAGATCACGTGGCCATC